GTGACTACTGCTACTCGTCGCGCGAATCGCGAGAACCTGCGACGGATCACAGACTCTGACACCAGCCAAAAGTAGGTGGCACGGAAAGCCGTGCCCTACGTTCACACCTCCCTCAAATCAGATTTCACCTTGGGCGCTCATATCGTTAGGAGGGCATTGACGTGAGTGAGCCACAAACAGAACTCAGGACTGAGCCTCAGGGAGGGTAAGGAATTCTAGAGGACGTGAGCAACATTTGTTCTTTCTAGTGTTTCTCCCCTATCCTAAGCATAAGACCTAGTGTCACCTACCAGCGGTTTCCAAATGCCCTGATTTGAACGTCCCCCCCCCAAGGCTATGAGCGCCCATTTTTGAAACTTTCAACAATAAAAGACCTACATTCGTTCATAGATCGGGATTCGACTCTCTCTGAAAAAGTCCATCGTACTCCCACTTTTGAGTGTCCCATATCGAATCTTTTGTTGACTGGCGAGATCCGCGGTGCTGGAAGTGATTCATACAATGTTGTTCAGAGTTGCCAGTGGAACGCTGTCTGGGAATTTTCCCAATTTACCTCTCGATGGTGTGGTCATTCGCTCTACCGTGAGGAATGCTGCCAATTGTGCAGTGTAGGAGGAGATCAGAATTTGGGTGAACATCCACCTGAACAGAAGCTGGAGCAACTAATTCGATAACAGGGTCTACATAGATGGTTCGTGCTTACCATATCACCGCCACCACTCGAGTAGCGGCGCTCGAGGAATCACGTCACTTCCTTGCTGCATCAAGGAACCGACGGCGAACCATAGTGAATTCAGCACACTGAACTGGTTCTTCTGATTCTCGATGCTCCGATCACGTTCGTCGATCTTTTCGATGTCGTACCTTAAGTATGGGTTTGCTGTTTCTGTAATCTGTGTACGCTAAGTCTAAACTCACCATTCGTAAGGGCTAAATCTCGCCAAGAGGTACATAACAAATGACACGGAGAGGTAGGCACCAATGAGCGACAGCCATACAGAGAAGGAGAGCGGCTCCAAAAACGTGAACATAGAACTCTGAAACGGTTGACGTTGCCCTATGAGTTAGTTCGAAGCGCTGATGATAACAGCTAGCACCAGCGTTCCCAATGACTCCGGGCTCTGAATCTGTTCGAGGCAAATTAATAGCACAAACGGGTTTAGCATGAGGTTAGCTTTCGGAACTACTGTGACGAGCGCAGGTGCCAGCGGTTCCTAATAACCATCTTGCATCGTGGACAGATTTCGTAAAAGCACAAAACGTGGGGCATGGAGGTAACACATAACACGATGTAGGTTGCTTAACAACGAATATAAACACCGCAACCTCCTAAGGGCAATGTCAGACTTTGCCGTCAACGACGATGTTAGCGTCCGCGGTCGCGTCGCGCCGGCGAATTCGCTCGCAGCTGGCTGCAGTACTGCCAGTTGGTAAAAATCTTTTCCGACCCTTACGGAAAAGAGAGGTAAAACAGTCTGAAAGAGCCTATAACGAGAGAGAGAGCAGACGTAGGCGAAAGAGAACCGCTGAAGGTGATACAGCAGACACCGTAGCAGTTCACGTGCGTGTTATTAAAATATACCCATGGTTGCGAGTTTCAAGCTCGTAGCGTCCTTTTACACGTTTTGAGCAACTAAAGCGGTCCTCTCACTGCACTTGTAGACCATGCGGTCATAGTCGTGAAAGAGATTGGCCCAATGATCGAATCGCGGTGTGTGCCTTCAGTCCTTATCTACCAAAAACTACTGCCTTCGCCGGTTGCCCGTTCCCAAGGCCACATGATGATTTCTGGGAAACGAGAGAACGCCTATGCCTTCAACTTCGAAATTCGTCAGCATCGAACCTTTGTTACCAAAATAGAAGCTCACCTTTTCAGAATCGTCATTCGCTCGAGCGAGAAGAATTGAAATACCCAGATGCATGAATGGGTAGTGTTGAAGTCTGAAACAAGGCATAGATAAAGATAATGAATAAAAATGACCCTTGTAAAGACGAAAGGATAGGTGCATCTCACTTACCAACCACCTCTACTCTACTGTAGGTGATTGTTCACGGCCGAGATCGAAACATCAGCCTCGTGCCGTTGCAGAACACCGATGATGCCGTTCCACCGTCCTGATTCATCCTGAAATTCGAATTCTTCTGATATTCTTAGAAAAACAAAAGTTAGGAGACCCATAGACAGCGAGAGCTGCACCTCTATACCGTAGCTTCCGTCTTGAACTTCGATAATCGTATAGTTGAATTTCAGGATGGCTGCCATTTCTTGGAGAAGATCAATGCAGAAGCCTTCGTATTGATTGTTAGAATTCTTGGTCACGAAAGGCTCTTCCTAAAACACATGCTGTGTCAAAAAAGATAGAATGTTCTTAGCCTCATGGCTGAGGCCAGTGTGCGTCCTTCAGGTGTACATGGTCGATAGTGGCAGGTTCAGACTTTGCGACTATCGCGCGATTCCGCGACTGGCACCATGTGCCACAACGTTAGTCATTCATTTAGTCTGAAAAGATCTACGCCAAATCTTCAATAAATGGCGATGGCGGCGCCATTATTGAGCGTAATGCATGCATTGCTGCGGCAATTCGTCCGAGTAGCGCGAAATTCGCGAAGTCTGACAACTGTCTAAGTAGGCCGAAATACAACTGCTCTTCATCTCTGTAGCCTCACAATGGTGAGAAAGCACAAAAACTGGAAGTGCCACTAATTTTTGAAGGATGTATCTACACCTTGCCTCCATACCCCTTTTGACTGCGTGCAGTGCTGCCTCAGTACAGCACTCTTTTAACCGGAAGAGCCTTCAAAAACATCGTATTTAACGCAACAACCCCAGATGGATCCATACCCTGGTGAAAAGATGCATGGACCTTAGTCGAGAAGATATGAAGTGTTGATTGTGAAAAATGCCATTGCAAATACACTGTGAAACGCTGGATATGTCCCAAGGTTCGAAGCGTCCGCCTTGTCGACACGCGCGCATTGCAAGCAGTTGGAGATCGCATCTCAATGAGAATATAATAGCGGAGTAAGGTTAACCGATAGATCCAATGGATATGATACACGCGTCACCACTGATGCCGCTGTGTCCATTTAAAATCGGCTGGACACGTCCCCTTCTCATCTCAAAGTAGGCGAGGAGGGGTCCTTGTTGGGAGCCTTCATAGGCGGTTTTCTTCACTTTTCTCACTTCAGTCAACGCCGGTATGCAGACTTTCATGAGCTGACCGCTCCTACCCAACCAATCTGATCTGGTTTTGTTTAAGAGAATGTTGGTGGAATATCATTTCTCCGTGTTCCCAATATGTACATTCCTGGGGGTGTGCGTCATATGGCGCGATCCCAATGGCATTGGAGCGCACAGGCCGTAATTAGCGCATCCTTGCTGTGGGCGGACAACTCGTCCACGCAACACATTCTGTTCCGTTCCTCTTGCCTTGGCATCAGGCCAGCGAAGCTACCTTCCCTTTTTGAATCCTTTGAACTCAGCGAGATTTTCGGGACCCAAGTTATCAGATCTATCGACAAAAAAACTGACATTTGAAGTTCAGCGAGTGTCGACCGCAGCAGGATGCTGGGCAACTGCGGCCTGTGCGCTCTAATGGCAATGAGATCGCGCCATATGATCGCCTCCCCATTTTCTGGAGTGATGAATTTCTTGGTGGAATCACATCAAAGTTGTGGGAAAGGTAGAATGCAAAGGTCGAACCTCTTCCCTCACCTTATCGTTTACATATCTGAGTAAGCGCACCAGAAAAATTTGTTTACTTTTGTCTAGACGCCCTTATGGTTTTTGTGTGAGATCAGTTGAGGATTCCAGATGAGTCAAGCAGGCGTAGGTCGAACTGTTGTTATTTTTTATGACAACTGTGAGCTGAGAAATTGACTCAGCATAGCCGCTCACCAGGTACACGACCACTCGCAGGTGTAGTCCAGCGAGATCATCGGCATCCGGGTCGATGTCGAACTCCCATTTGTTTGCATAGCGGCCGTCAAACTGCCAACCAGTCCGTTCGGTCCAACTGCCGAGCTGAAACGAGCTCCATTTTCACCAACATCTAAACATGATTCAAGAATTCGCTTCCAAGACATTAAGAGAGCAAGAAACAACTTCAAGAGATTACATACGGCTCTTCCGCAAATAATAGCAAAAATTTCGAAGCTAAGAGAAAGGTTTGACTATAATCGCGGTCAGATTCTAATTAGTCTGAAAGGGTTAGAAATGTGACCTAGCTTACGAAAAAAATCCCATGAACACGAAATGCGGCCACCTTCGATGCATTGATGAGTAAGCCTTTTCTGAAGCATCCCAAGATGACGGCGGTGTTCGACAGGAAGACGAGAGTATGTGCGAAGTAAAGAAAAGGAAAAGAGTTCTGCGCAAAACAGGCATCTCCTATAAACTAAAGCCTAGGAGGAGAAGAACCTTTCGAAAATAGCAAACATAGAGCAACAGCTCTGAGAAGTTCCTTCCTCTCTAAGCTTGAGGCCTTCCCTTTCCAATGCAGAGAAATGTTGTGCGCCGTTTCAAATGTATTTTAATTCACAATCTGTCCCCCGCATCTTGCGATTGCCTCCCCGTAAATAAATCTGTCGCAACAACCTGCTGCCTACGAGAAAACTGAAGCTGTTGAAGCTATCTCTGCTGCGCCCAAATGCCATTGTCGGGTCTTCAGAGCTAAGCTGTGCGCGGTAGTGCCACATCTGTCGTTGTCCTTTAAGGATCTAGCCAACAGACTGAAGGGAATCGTCCACAGGACTTTTACCTTTGTGCCTTTAGGTATGGTTACTCTGCAGTCCTTTATGAAAATTCCTCCCCGCCCTGTGTAACGCCGATCCATTAAGGTTCACCTGAGATCGCAGAATTCTCTCAAGGTGTTCCGTTTTTTGCTCAGTTTCCTAAATAGGATTTTTCTAAAAAGCAGTCACCAGAAAGGCAAACGAGTTCAATTCTCCAACGTTGTTCGCCATTACCTTGAGGTTAGAAGAAGTTCTGCCCGTCGTAATTTCATTAAGGTAAGAGGGCTAAGACTAATGCTTGCTATTTAATTACCGAGGCACTTGATGCTGACTGTCTTGCTTGCTTTTTCCACCTGCCATTAGTCAAAAAGCACAAGCCATGGTGCAGACAACCAGAACGAAGGTCATCACGGTGACGCGAACTCGTTTTGAATCTCGTCCTTTCTCGAGCAAGCGTGAAACCCTGAAGGTCGTCCGCTTCTCCGCGTGGTGCGACTGCCTGTGGATTAAGAATGAAGAGCGATCTGGGGTGAAATATGCGAAGGCAGGTCGATCGATGCACAGTCGAGACTTTGGAAAACAAAAACGGACAAAGTCGACCCCGTTCCACCACCCATCTCTCACCTTCCCACTGCCCACACCATCGATTACCCAAGGAGAATTACAGTGGGAAAAAAGCAGAAACACCACAGGACAACCCGGAGAACAGTCATTTGCCAGAAGAGGCTTTTTCCTTTTCCAGCAACGCACTCATTAAGACCTGTAGCGAGGCAAGGCTCACTCTTAAGACGTTGCAAATTGGAACAGCACACCTGCACAAACCAGTCGCCCTTGAAAAACTAGCGCAGACGCACGAAAAACTGCTTAGTAAAATAAGACCCCTGAAGGTCGTCGTGACGTTCAAGCACTCAAAGGAAGGAAACACGTTCCCCACGGAGGATATTTAGCGCCACCACAAACAGCACATTGTAAACACTCTGCCAGAGGACACTTTTTCTATCGCAGGCGTGTGTATCCAAAAACACACGAGGAAAAGAGGTGTAGTGGTGAAGAAGTACAAGTGTACAATACTTGTTTTCATGCTGAAAAACTCTCACGGAAGCTACTCGAATTAAGCGAAGATTGAAGAAGTGCGACCATCGAAATTATCGGGTGTTCTATTTGTTTCTGAGGGATGGTTTTGCGAACGCGCGGGCAAACATGGCCGAGCAGTTCGAGAAGGATCAGCGCTTGCCAAGGCGAGAAACGCCAAGATTTACTTGACACACACACACTCATATGTCCGGAACCAGTTGTATCACACGTGAACAAACTAAGGAATCGAAGTCGATCCAGCAAAACCAGCAGGTGCCAACACCTGCGCTTTGAGCATACTGCCAGGACGAGGGGTACTGTATCTGTGAACAAGAACACTCGCACGAAGATTTCAATGCATGTTGTTGTCAAAATGACCAAAGAGCAGAATTCAGGCCAGTTTCCTGGCGCATTTTCTTGCTAACGACCAGCATGGGACGAACGAGAGCGCTCATCTGCGGAAGACACAACACTTGCTCACTAATCAAATGAAACCTCGGTGAAAATGGAGTGGGGGGGAAGGGAGAGAAACAATCCTTGCTACCTTAGTACTAGCAAGCTCCTCAGTCCTTCTTAGCTCCTTTGTAAGTACTAGCGAGTACTCCTTTGGCATTATACCGCTAAGGAAAAAATAAAAAGGGGGCGTACTTTTACTAAGAAGCTGTTAGCGTCCTACAACCCACACGTCCTGCCCAAATAATAACCTGATGGTGGAGCTGGTCATTCACCCTGGAGCTCCCCCGCCCTTAGGCTTAGGTATGGATGTCCTTTCTCCTTGTTCAGGACCGTTTCCGTACACGACTGGAGGTCCCAATTTGAAAGCACCTCACGAGTACTTCCACAGCTCAGTACTTATCAGAAGCAAGTTTCAAACGAGTCGGTTACGATCATGAGCGCTCTAATTGGTATCCTCAGTACTGGAGAGCATCACTAAGGCAGCGTTCAGAGTTAGCGTGCATGTGATTAGGCGATATTAAATTAAGCGATGATTCAAAAAAATTCACGTATCGATTTGGCGATTAGGCGATAAGAGAAGTATACACCAGATTCTCTTGCTCTGCCTATTAACGACCGATTATCACCTACTGCCCCCTAATCGCATCATTGATCAGTCCTTTCCTTGAAACTAATTGTCAAACGCCATGTAGCTAATCGTCCAATTCTGAAGCGGCTCGCAAAAGTCTTCTCATCGAGCGCTAGCTTCATCGGATTTCCGGTGTATGTTAAAGCGGACTCGGATACCCAGGACCATAGTTCCAACCGTCTGGGACGTTTTTACCACGACGGTTAGGGTTTGGCCGATTGATTTCTGACCTGTGGCCGAACGAAGATTTTCATGGTTTGTTACGTCATCGTTAGATTCATGGGATGTGTTTGATGTCATTTCTTTTCGGCTTTGAAACGTAACAATTAAGCGAATAGTGCGATGCGTCTTTCTATAGGGCTGAAAACCTGTTTGAGACAGTCTCGGGTATAAAAGGCTGCCGCGGCAGTGCACAGTCATCCTTCACGTCATGCTCAAACTCGACCGCCTCTCGGCTGTTCTTGTGTGTTCTCGGTTCGCTCAGCGGACCACAAGGAACCGACCATTCTACACAAAACGTCAGGTTTCATTCATGATTCCAGTAATTCGCTCTTATGACTATTGCACTAACTTCTTCTCGAAGGATTCCCTTGATTTGCAGCTTTATTAAACCAAATTTTTAGGCTCCTGTTGAGAAGCAGAAGGAGTTTGAGGCATTGCTGGCCAATGCAGGAGGTATGACCGATGCCCAGATCGATCAGAAGGTGATGGGCTGGGTTTCCCAGCAGGATGCGTCAATCAAGGTAAGCGAGTTGCAATGTTTCGCTTTCGTTTCCATTGATGATTTTCTCATCAGTTTTGGCCGGATCTACTTAGTAAATACTTTTTGTTGGAATACTTGATATCAGTGGAGTTCCAGAGTGCTTTTGACGCTTTCGTGCAGAAAGTAAAGGCGGCTCAGGCTCAAAGCGAAGCTGCTCACAAGGCTGCTGTCGCTAATTTCGGCCCGGAAGCGAAGGCGGTGAGTTCTATGACATCGAATTGGATTTGATCCCCAAGAGTAATCACATGTGGTTGGATTCTGTTCAGGCTGACGCGAAGCTTTCTGCAATCGCTTCTGACCCCTCGAAGACCAACCAACAGAAGGCCCAAGAAATCAACTCTGTCCTCCAATCTCTGCCACCAAATGTTCGTAGCGAAATCGAAACCGCAATGAAAGGCTAGAGGGTTGTTGTGTATATAAGAAGTGGAATAAATATTTGAAATCTCACTGCTTATTGGTCTATCACCCCCTTATTCAATAACCTTTGGGCACCCAAATTCTTCCCTTCCAAAGAGTCCAACAACGTCTATCTAAAGGAGTCGTCCACGAGAGGGTCATGCCGTAGCATGAAAATCATCATTCACGATTAGAACAAGTCGCGTTTGTTGGTGAACGATCCGAGAACCGGGAGGCACATTTACTTCCGTGCGCACCTTTGGCCCCACCTGGCCTACCCACGACCGTCCCCGAGTGTGGTTTTCTCGGGATTGTTTCTCTCCGGAAACTAAATTTTTTGCATGAAACGTTGTACGTTGCCTCTGTTGGTCACAAACAGATATTTCTGTTTTTTTTTTACTTTCAAAAAACTCTAAGTTTCAGAATTATTCTGCAAGATTTTTCGTTCCTCATAGATCGAAGACGATTCTGAAAGGACGAAGTAGTTTTCATTGCTACCGTAAAAGGCTCGCTCTACAGAACTCTTGATCTAGGGTTCAATTTTGCTTCCACGAAGTATTACAGTTCAGGGGCCCTCTTTCACGTGCTTTTCAGCAAGACAGAGATGTCCATCGTCAATGTGGCCCCATTCCTAGGTCGAGGGAAGTGAAACGTTCACTATTTTTCTATTAAAAACGCTCCTTTGTGAGAAGTGATAAAGGGAGCGGACTTGAACTGTCCCAAT